ATTCTTCTCCTACTTTAGGAGAAACTCGCTCTAGACTCTAAAATCTTTTTACCCACATTACCTTGAACTTCAAACTATTTTAGACTCATAATATTCATAGTCGTCTGCTTTCTTTGGTTCATAAGGTATAACACAGTTTGTCTGTGCTCCTCTTAAGGTTTGAAACACTTCTGTCAAAATTTTCTTTGACTGCTACAAACCTTCTATGTCTAAGTCTTCAAATTTCGCACCATTTTAGTCACAATAGCAAACTTAACTTTCGATGTTCAAACTTTGCAATGTAACTTTTCAAAATGTAGAAGTAAACATTCAAATAAGCGAATGGGTCTAGTTCTTCTTTGATTCTGTCATGTACTTTTTACTGAATGAATTTTGCCATCTTTTTCTATCGGATAAAAAAATTTTTTTAAAATTACTCAGAAAAATTTTCTTTGTATACTACCATTCTGAACATCTAAAAGATTTTGACATTTGCCAAGAATGTTCGTTAGAAGCTGTCATATAACAATATTCTTGACAATATTGTTTATAATCACAATGTAATGACCTTTCATCTATGACACAAAGTCGCTTTCTAGAAACAGTTCATATACACTCTTGTTTGCTTCTAACAATGTTTGTCTTCTTCGGTATGTGGGAATTTTGTCTTGGATTGAACTTTGAAATATCTAATGTCATGAAATATGAGAACAAGTGGTTGTAAAAGTAGTGTCAAAGTTTCTGCTAAGTCGTCAAAAATATTCTGTATCTTGCATATGAGAATCTGACGTTCTGACAACTACATATCTTCTGTCAGAACTTTCTAACTTCATCGGAACAGCATGTTTGAAAACATAATGAATTTGCAACATTTTACAAACTCTTTTGGTCTTTATATTTCTTTCACAACTCCAACTTTGTCTGTATAAGACTCTTCAAACGTATCAAGCTCTGAGTTCAAAACTTTTGTTGTATCTATACTTTGAAGGTTCATTGCAAACTATAAGTTTCATATTCTCTATTGAGAGATTTAAAACGCCAGATGTTTTCAAGTTTGTCATATTGGTCAATAGCCCTCTAACAGTTTGCATAAGATATCTGTAAGAAAGTGTTCTTACCAGTTCCTTGTTCCAATATTATATGAGAGCAGTTTCATTTTGCACTTGGATGTTGTAAGAATGTTTTGCAAACACACATAAGATATACTCATAGAACTCTTTCGTTTCCATTGCATATAATTCTTTTGACATGGTCTAACCAAGCTTCTATAAATTATTTTTCCCATTCTACTTGTTCAGTATTTATATCCAGTGAAGATAGAATAAGAAGTTTGAGAATGTATATAAACTTTATAGCCGAACTGAAAAAATCTTCTAAGTTTGACAATAAGATATCCAAGCATCTAACATCTTCATGCCAACTTGTACGACTTATTCTGTAATTTCGTCTACATTCTTGTTCGAAAACTATTGGTGCTTTGGTTTGTTAAAGACAACATCCCATTCTTTCATACATAACATTCGGGCAGAGGTCGACATAAATGACTAAACGTTTCAAATTCTCGACTGCTTTTATAGTCTCGAAATGGACACATATTTCTGAATGCTTGGAAGTCATAAAAATCTGAAACTCTTTCTGTACATTTTTATAAAAATAAAAAAAATATTTTTTTATTCTTGACTTTGTTGTGTGCATTTGTTCCATTTGTTATTTGTGTTCTTGAGCTATTTGTTGTTAGTTGTTCTTGTATACATACTTTCACCAGTTGCATCTTCCATTCAAACTTTCGCTCTCATTGACAAATACATAGGACATAAAAGTTTTACAGGAACAAAGTTTGCGTCAACTAAGTTAAGTTTATGTTTGCTAAAGTGTTTGAGTTTACTAAGCTGAAAAAATTCTGCATTCGAATGAACAAAGGGCAAACAGCAGAGAAGTGTTGTTTATACGCAGAGTATCTTTGGTCATAATAGTTTCTGTCGACATTCGAATAAGCACTTTGAACCTAAGTTTGAACAATATATAAATGGTGCTATGTCAATGGAATAGACAAACCTTGTATGACACCTTTTCCTGTTAAGAAAACTGTTGTAAAAACAGATATAAGTTTTATATATAGCTCATATTTTATAGTAAACATCAGTCGGACATCCAAACATAATGAAACCTGCTCTAGTTCAGCACATGTTACACCTCCCTTAAAGTATTAAATAAGTCAACAAAACCTGTGGTTGGATATCTGAGTAAGTATCTTCAAAAGAGTATTTTTCTACATTCACAACACATAAGTCTTCTGTGTTCAAAAGAGCAAAACAGCTTTAGTCGTCATGTGTTTAAGTTAGTTACAATATCGTCTTGAGACTTGTAAGTTGTTGATAGAATTATATGACTCAGGGTTTTAGTCGTAATAATAAACACTATGTTTCTGCCATTTACTAGCAATAAATTAATGAAATGTTGTGTCGTCAAATATATTTATTTGGACCGTCCTGGAAACTATACTTTAAGTTCAACGTTTCACCTCCTTTCATAACGTATATCTTGGTCAATGACATTATATGAAACACCACAGCAACTAAAGTCGTCTATTTCTTGATTTTATATCGTCTGCTCTGTCAAATTTCAATAGTTCTTATTTCTTTAAACAAATTCATAGGTCGGATGACATATGAGTTCACTTTTACAGGTTGTGTTCGACCAAGTTTAACATATTATACCTAAAGCTTGACAAATCTTCTCCTGGAGTTTTAAGTTTGTCCTTAAGTTGTTGTAGTCGTTTCGAATATCTGCAACAAGAACTTAAGTCTCTGCTAACTTCATGGTAATGTTGGTTGGTTCTTTTACAGAACTATTGTTATACCATCTTCTCTTCGTAGTGTTTCCCCACTTCAAACCTCTCTTTACATTGACAACTACACACTGACTGTTTGTTTGAGTTGGTGATTTAAATTCACATCTGCCACCGCCATTAACTTTTGAAACACATCACGCTTCTATTTTTCGGAAATGACATTTTACTTAGAATAAAAAAGATGACGTTCGAGTATCTCTTCGAATTGAAGCAGAACAAATTACACACACAAACAATACCAATTCATTGACAGAATATTTCTTTACACAAACAATGGAAAATGTTAAGAATAGCAAGTCTTCTGAACCAAAATATTTTCTAAAGCAAGAAAGTTGGTATAACCGAATGGTGAAAGTTCTTGAAGCAGACAAAATATAACAACAAAACTGACCGAATTTCTAAAGGAAGTTTATAATACAATATGTTCAAAAACTGGCTACTGTCAATATTTTGACGGAGAGAAGTACAGTTCAAGAACACTTAACCTGACCTGCTGCCAAAACTCGCTCGATGGAAGCTGTTCGTTATGCCAATCTGGGAGCCCAGCAGGTTTCATCGAACGAATTTCTAAAAGAGCATCTCCTAAAAGTGCATTGGTTTTGTAAACTCTTTGCTTTCAGTTCATCTGGACCGTCTCTGTCACCAAGTATAATTGTAACTACCAACCAGTTGAAATACCACCCATAAAGTCTTCTGAGTCAGCAAATGGAAAGCAAGCCAAAGTTTGAACGTCCCATTTGTATATTTGAGTTTTTACTCCTGTATGAATCCATACTTTCACATATGGCATATAGAACTTTGCATTTCAGGTTAATGTGTTTGTGAAGTTGTTGTTAAAGTTCATAGCATCTAAGTCAATGTATGACCTCATATCTCTCAACTGTGGAATATTCATCTTGATAGTATTTCATCTATGTTTATTGTATTAATACCAGGGTTGTTAAAGCAAGAATATCATTTATAGATGTCTAACAGTACAAACATAGTATCTGCATGTTTCATTGCAGTTGTTAACAATATCTGTTCTTGCACCTGGCAGCACTTGGTTTCCAACTTCACCTGCAAAGTCTTTGACAGATATGGTAGGGAACATAAGTGGAACTGCAAATATTTGCACTATAAGCATTTGAAATACGCGGCCAACATATAGACTGCAAGATACTCGCTCTCTATCTCTCTGCATTCAAAATTTTCGCATGTGAACTTAACTGGTCCCAAGCAGTTCCAGCAGCATTGAAATATAGTTTTACTTCAGTGTTGTAGGTTTGAGAAACCAAAGTCTAAAGTCAACTTTGTCTTTGCAAAATCCAATACAATTGTCCTTACGTCTTACGAGTGAATGTCTTGTGTTGTCAATGACCTAAATTGATTTTTGCTTGAGTAAGTTTCTGATAGAAATTTTTCTGCCCAGTTTGCAATATTAAAAACCTGAAGATGAGAAAGATGACAAAGAACTATTTCATATTACTTTCGTACTGCTGCTGCGTTTGTCCAGAAAGTTAAACATCCTGGAAGCTAGGGTCAATTCTTTTATCTCAATTGCAACTGGTCTGTTTCTTCAGCTTGTGGTTTACTGAGTTTCTCAAAGCGAACCATCATAGTTTTCCCAGTTACTGTTTGAACTAAGTCAGAGTTAAATATATCTTATATCCCATGAAAACTTCTTGAGCTATTGGTATCCGACATAGAAAATTTCATTGCAACCTTTCTTGTCAGACAACTTGGCAGAAGGTTTTATTTCAATGCTTGTTCCAACGTATAAGAAAGAGTTGTCAATAGAAATAATATGAAACCTTCGCAGCATAATCTACTGTGTGTGAAGAACCTTCCCAATCCACCTACCTTTCCATAAAACAGCAGTTGTATATTCGTAAGCCAGGAACTATTTCTTGACCTTCTAATGTGGCATTGTCGCATTCGTTACATTCGGAACACATTTCCATTATAGCATCCAAACGTTGGCGTATATTTCTAGCGGCGTACATTTCATATGGTAAAAATATAGAATAGTTGGATTTATATTTCATAATAGAACCCACGTGGACCAAGCTTTACTTTCTTCCTGACTGAGTTTTTAACTCTTCTTTCTCCTTCATTCCCTCTTGCTTGAAGTT